CTGACAGTTGTGCTGTGAATACAGGTTTGATATGCTGTTAGCAGCTAACCTGTAACCTGCTGTAGAGATGAGCTACGGACTAAAGAGGTCTCACTTCTTCCCGACTCCACACCTCTGAAACTTTTAACCTTTCAAACTTGTACTTTTCAACTGACACTGACTCAAGTGACGTCACCTGAGGACACTTACTACACTCCACACAGCTCCATCCAGAGACTCTACAAGCGATTTACTACTGTTAAAGGTAATCTGCACCACAATCTCTGGCTACTGTTTGTAATCAGTATTGCCAGTGAGAGTGAAAATGAAGCTGTGTCCACTTGGCGTGTAGCCTCTCTACATTTGCATACTCTTGGATACATGTCGCTTACGTTCTGGCACCTGTACCGTCACTACCTTTTAATAAAGTCCTGACCCTTATCTGAGCGCTCTGTGCCAACGTCCTCAACACATTAGAGGAAAATTTAAAAAACCCCGGCAGATGGGCAGAGTCTCTGCAGATAATCACAGTGAGGGTGGGGACTCTAATCAGTGGTGACTGAGAGGGAGTCTATACATCATACAGGAGTTCAATTTAAACCTCATTTCAAAGTATATGAAAAACACTCCGAGGGCCTTGTAGAGACATTTAGCAGCTCTTACTGTGCGGTGTTGTGACTGCACACAGAGTCAGCAGCAGGATGTGAGTGGACGCAATTAGCTGCTGAATCCACCCGGAAGAATTCACTTCTTTCTGTCTGAGCACACCTCCAGACTCCACTTTGTTTTTTGGACATAAAAGCCAACTCCTCTGTGTAACACCTCTCTCTCAATGTTCTTTTACTCCTCTGAGTCTTCCCGTTTCCTTTTCAGCGTAGCGAGGCGGAGCACAGGTCCACTTTCATTAACAGCTGAGGGATGAAAGCTCTGCACCCAGAGTGTGTTTTCATCTGTAGCTGCAGAGTAAATCGGACTTTCACTGGTATTGATGTGAACAGAACTATCAGAGGGAGAAGTGAAGAGGCAAATCATCTACTTTCATAATAAGATAACAGTCTCAGGTTCATATAAATGACACTTTGATTACTCTCCTCACTTTAATGACAGACACACAGGCCTATATGTACAAACCGTTTGGATTTTTGATTTCCTGTTTAATTTCCGGCTGTAATTCATGTGTGTGTTTTGCATGTGAGTTTGGTGACGTTCTCATGATTATTTCCAGGGATACATGAGATCAGTCAGAGTTTTTTCATAACACGTAAGTTATGAAAAAAACATGCTTTATTCTCCCTCAGGTCGGAGTATCTTCCTAGTGTCTGGTCCTCTATCCCGTATGATAAAACCCAAAATGATGAAATCCACTTTGACCAAAACCAATTTTAAGAAACATCCTAACATGTAGATGAGCTCAAGAGAATAAATGAGATAACGGACCAGTCGTCTTCCTCTCTCTTCCTCTCTCTTCCTCTCTCTGACAGTCACTCTGGTTTCTAAATGTTTTCCCCTCAGCTGAAGAGCCCCTCTCTCCGCTGTGATGCCCCACAGTGCCGCGGCGCAGTAACGAATCCTATCAGCATAATGATATTTCAGCAGAAACCATGGCAACCGAGTCCGTAAGTGTGTTATCTCTCTTCAGGTGCCCCGCGCATCCACACAGGAAGAAGAGCATCCAGCCTGCAGCTGTGATTTATGAAGAACTGTATGACAATAACATCCTGCTCTCACACCAACACACACACACACACACTCTTCATCTGTTAGTGTGTGTGAGAATGAGAGAAAATGCATGAATGTGAGTAATTTCATACCATGGTGTTATGGGTAATGGGCTTTACGTGTGTGTGTGTGTGTGTGTGTGTGTGTGTGTGTGTGTGTTCATGATGCATGAAATGGGTCAGCCTGCAAGCACCCACAAGAACCTTAATACATGGAGTCAAAGTGCTCGCACATGCGTGTGCTGCTGACACACACACTGTACAGATCACAGTCCACCAGCTCTCAGTGCCACCAAGTGGAACTTAACACACACTTCAAACACTTCAGACGCTGTCAAGTCTTAATTAAATGCTGTCGTGATGAGGTATCAATTAACGAGTGGTCACACACTGATGGTCTGACTGCCTCGTGGAAAAACCTCTGAAGTCAGTATTTGGCTGAAGAGAAATACTGCAGGGTGCAGGTGGAGGAACACAAGCTTACTGGTGTTTTACTTTTGAATTCGTTTTGTCAAGAGACGTGTTGAGGATCTCTTGACTGAACTGTTAGATGGTGAAGATAAATGTTTGGCCTTTTGTGTTATTTTATGTTGGCTGTGCTGACAGACAGGCGGCGAGCCACATTTACATGTGGAAACATAGCACCCATGGCTCACCCTCCCTTCTCCACTGGTGAGCCTGGGCTGCTCTGCACAAGTATTAATTTTGTCAACGACCTTTTTTCAGTGACGAAAACAAGAAGAAAATGAGCTAAAAGATCTTGACAATAAAAACTAAGAAGAAAACGGCCGTGCTTGTAATGATCTTCAGATGCCTGATGAGCGACAGGCTGGTAAACTCCAGTAAATAGTCTGCACCAGGATGTTTGGGTTGATGCAAGCTGTGAGCTGTAATTCAGCAGTAAATAATCAGCCGTGTGTGTCTGACTGTGGATGGTGGAGCTGCTGAATGGATTTGTGGAGTTTGTTAGTTGCAGCGGTGGCTGTTAGCAGCTAGCTCCGCTCGCAGCCTTCACAGCTTCACCCCGCAGGACTCCACTCAGTCCGGACTGGAGAAGGTTTGTGGGTTGATGGTGTTTGACAGGCAGGTAGGAGGCTCAGTTATCTGTGAGTGTAGCTGTGCTGTAAGTAAACAGGCTGAACTCAGATCAGTTTTCTCTGACAGAGATGAAAGTTTAGTTTGAATCACCAACTCTGTGAGAGGACACCAGTTTAAACCTCCAGACTAACATGTTGCACATGAAGAAACAAGTTATGTTTCTGCTTCTTAACAGTCACATGGATAAGTCAGAGTTTACAATGAACCTGGGGACAAATCCTAGTTGACTCACATTAGTTATTTGTTGAGAGCATAAATAGAGAGATGTTGAGCTTTTCAAATGATGATCAGTAAGTGTGTGCTCGTAAATCAGCCCTTAAACCTGTCACACACTGCTGGAGACATGACACACATTATTTTATACAACCTGACACCTTGAGTCTCATTTATGATCTATGAATTAACCTCGCTGGATTAGTTTAAAGATTAAAAAAACATATAGAAAACAGAATGACTGACAGGTTTTGAGTTTTCGTCGACTAAAACTATGAGGATTAAAAATGACTAAAATGCGACTAAAACTAATAAACAGTTTAATCTCAAGACTAAATCTAAATGGTTTTCAAAATTAACACTGATCTCAGACGACTGATGTTCTTCACGTTTGGAGCTCAAACTGAAGCAGATGTTTCTCAGCTGTTAAACAGCTGGACTCAAGATAAGCACACTCAGTGCTGTGCTGATTGGTCGTCATTGTTATGAGTCATCAAACACAATAACAGCTGAAGCTCTCCTCTCAAACATCACACAGCTCTTCACACAACAAATTCTCCACATTAAACATCAGAACACGACGTCAGCTCTTATCATATTCGGGCAGGAACATGTTCACGTGTTTACAGTGTTCAAAGAGTCCAACCTTCATGTTCCCCTCCATGAACTTGGTCTTGAGAAGTTCTGCAGCAGAAGGTCTGGATGCTGGTTGTTTCTGCAGCATCCTGGTTCACAGAGACAAAACAGTGGGTCAGTGTCGATGAAGAGTTCAACAAGCAGAGAAATATTTTTATGTATATAAATATCAAAGCAGCCTCACAGAGCATCATGTCTGGAGACAGTTTCATTGCTAATGTTTAATTATTAACGTAGTGCAGTTTGATATTTCACACAGACCTTTTCTTTGCATATCAAACATTGTCTCTGTGTTTTATGTGAAGCAGCAGACCTGCACACAGTGTATTCATTTTTAACATCAACACTATAAAGAACTGATGATCAGAAAACTCTTTGATTGGTCAAAAACCTGGGTTCACATCCATGAAAAACTAAAGCCACATGAAGTGCATTTTATCCTCCTGCAGACATGATAGTGAACTCGTCACAGTAACATGAGACGGAAGTGTATAAGTCAGCCCATCTGTTCCTCCTCTGAGGAGAACTTAATTATCATCACTGCCATTCCTCCTGTGTGCTCAGTAATTATCTGTATTTGCATATTAATAAGTCGGAGTTTGTCTTACTAAAAGGAGACAAACCCTCAGTGACGTCTCAGAGAAGCTGGCGTGGCGTCCTCCTCACCTCTGCATGACAGAGTTCAGATCCTCTGAGTATCCACTGGGCAGCGTCGGGGTTTCTCCCTCCACAATCTTCATCACCACAGACAGGAAGTTTGGACCCTGGAAGGCGTGAGTCAGGGAGCACATCTCATAGAGGAGGCAGCCCAGAGCCCTGCAACAACACACACACACACTTTTAAACTCCATTAAAGAGCAGCCATCTCTTCTCCTTGAGTCAGCTTGTTTTTAACATCATGACCAACAGTCCGTCGCTCCTTCCCGCCATCAACCTCTGCTACGTTTCACTGCACCTGTTTTTAAAACAGTCTGCAGTGCTGGTCGATCCAGATCTGTGTGGTTTGGATGAATGGATGAGGGCAGCAGCAGCAGCTGGCTGATCTGAGGTCTAATTTAAATGCAGTGAAGCCTCTCAGTCTTGTTCACACTCTGAGTGAAAACTATTTCCTCTGTTAAACTATGAAGATTAAAGACGGTAGCTGACGGAGGAGAGGCTTCTCAGAACTGTCACAACATTTCTGATGGAAAACAAAACAGAGAAACTCTACTTTAGTTCATTCTGTTCCTGTGATATGAGCACAGGTGTGGACTCGAGTCACATGACTTCAATAAATTTGATGACTTCAGGCTGCTGTCAGCCCTAGAGTCATCTCCTCTGGTCTGAATCAGGGACTCATGTTGTGCCAAAGTTGTATAATTGCCTAGAGTTGGTTCGTGTTCTCACGGCAGCATTTACAAGAGGACCAGATCAAATGCCTTGTGTGAGAAAGCTGCTCTTGATTGGTCAGAATTTCCATGTGGGAAAAATCCAGGAAGTAAAGCAAACATTGAAGAAGAGTACACTTGCAAGATAAATGTGACACTTTCTAATGTCACAATGGAGGGACAACTACGCAGGTTGATTTTAGCGCTGCTCATCGTGGACTATATTGCTGTCATTGTTCATTTTAGTCAAACCATACAGTTTGAAAACGAGGCGCGGCTCCAACTAGAAAACAATGTTTTGATGCATTGGATGTGCTGAATGTGCATATTAAGGCAGTACAGGAGGAGGTGCACATTAATAATCCTCCAGGACTGTAACATGCTCATGTTTAACCCAAACAATGTGTCATGTGACTGCAGTTGCTTCACATCCAGGTCGGAACACCTTCTCACCACAAACCAACCGCACCAGAGTTCCTTTGGAACCGGACTGAGACCACCTCTTCAAGAAGGTCTCGGTCAGGTTGTTTTGGTGTGTTCACACCTGCACAAACGAACTGCACTGAGGGGACAAACCAACGTGGATTCCATTGAACTGAACCAAACAGGGCAGGTGTGAAAGCAGCCTCAGATTTAACTTGATAAAATCAAAAAAAAAAAGTTAAAGTCGACGTGGACTTTAACACCGATGACTTGTGACTTCACTTGGACTCGAGTCTGTTGACTTAAAAGTACTTGACACTTATCCCCTAACCCAAAGATTAAAAAGTGTGCCACAAATCAATTCATTTCCCTTCATTTCATGAATCAACTAACATTATCCACACTTAACTACCCCAGATGATCCACTTTGTTTGAAATACTCTGAAAGCATCCTGTTATGTTGCAAAAGAGAACCAAAAAGAACTAATGTCACGTTACTGAGCGTCAGGTAGGAGAAATTATACTAAAGAAAATTTTGATCATGTACAAAAACTACGACACTTAACAAACCAATCACCAGAATAAATGTTAGCTTTGTATGTTTTTGCAAACTGCAGATACATTACATTTGTATATTATGTAGTGGATATGTTGAAACTTTACACTCCAAAGAAGCAGTACGTAACATGTGGTTTGGTTTAGGTAAAAAACAACTGCTTCTCATGGCACTATCCTGGCTGGAAATACAGTGACGGGTCCTTTAAATACCCACGTTTCATGGCTAAAAACCAGCTGGAAATGGCAGCAATATCTCACTAAAAAACAACAGGTTTTGTTGGTCTTTGACAGCCCTGCAGTGGTCTGTAGCTTCCAGCCGCCTTCCACCATCCCCTCCAGCTCTGGACCACAACATCACCTCATAGACTACGTTGCTTTACAAACTGATACCCATGAAGCACACAAATGTAATGTATCTGTGCTTTGCAGAAACATACAGTGGCTTTGCAGGCTACAGTCACAGCTCTTAAACCTGCCTCAAGATCTCTGATTGGTTGATTGTTTTTCCAAACAGGTAAACAGCCCTCTGTGAGTAAACAGATGATTTTAATACCTGAACAATCAGTGATCAGCTGAGATTTCTGGTTCCAGAGGAGTAACAGTGCAGATGTTTCTGAGATAAAACAGAGAAGTCTGTTTGTATTTCCTTTCTTTCTCAGTTTCTGTTGTCTTCACTATGTTTGTTCAGTTAATTAAGGACCTGCTTCACTTTCTGCCGCCTCCTCTCTAATTACCTCCGTCTGTTTATTAGCACAGTAAGCAGCAGCAGAACAACATCCATCAGCCCAGTAACAGTAACAGTTAGTGAACCTGCAGCTGTTCTTTACTAATTATCTGCATGAACAAACACCAGATATATCATTCAATAATTACTAATTAACTACATCTTTCTGTTGCATTATTAAGGCTTTAACATGCATCCATCAGTTTATTAGTAATCGCTGATTCATGCTAATTACTTATATCTGAAAATCATGTCATACTAACAGGGTCATGTGGGGTCTGCAGGCAGCAGGGTCATTATAGCCACAATATCAAACATAAATACTAACGTTATTTCTGCTGCTGGAGCTGAGGAGTTATATATAAGTGTAAGTAAACAAACACTAAATCCACTATAACATGTATTAGATAATGAAAAATGAAACAGTGGAGCTGGGAGACCCTCCTGCAGCTTCCTGTCAGCTACAACACAGAGAGGGTTGTGTGTAAGACTAGGACAGGGTGTTGGTGTTGCTCCACTGTGTAAGATCTGTGAATGGAAACACAACCAACACACATTTGACAGCATCACCCAGATCTGATCCCTGACCACTCATCCACCCCTGATGAACTGGATACTCATCACAACAATGGATTAAACAACATTCTCAACTGTCTTGCTCCAGTGAAAACATGGTCTGTTACCTTCCCAACTCCGGTCCATCAAAGCTAAATGTCGTCAACTGGAGCGAATCCATTGAAAATCTGGTCTCGCTGTTCACAAAGAACGATACGTAACTCACCTGTTACGCTATAAGGACTCAATCGCCCAAACCAAGTCAAATTACTACTCCGGCCTGATCTGCTCCAATGAAGGTAACACCAAGACTCTGTTTTCACTCCTCAACAAAATTCTCCAACTCCCTGACTCTCTGCCCCCCCACCTGTACTCACATGACACCTGGACCTCCCTTATGCACTTCTTCACTGCCAAAATCACAAAATCCACCAGCACTTAAGTAATGGTTCTCTACCTCTCTCCTCCTCTGCAGAGAATCATTAAAACTGCAGATAAAATCACCACCTCCCCCACTACCAGCCCTGAACAACATCTTCACCTCACGTTGTCTGCACAAGTCACACAACATCCTCATACAAGACTCTTTCCACCCTGCCCATCACCTTTTTGAACTGTTGCCCTCTGGCAGAAGATACAGATCCATCAAAACACGCACCACACGATTCCTGGACAGTTTTTACCCCACAGCCATAACCGCACTGAACAATGAACTCAAAAACCGTGCAGTGTAGACAATACAGCACTTTCATGTTTTTATGTGCAATATATTACTATTTTTAAAAGTAAATGGTCACTTTTTTTAAATGAAATCTACCTCTATGCACACATTGGCACTGTAAATGGCACTTTTGACTTTTGATTTGTTTTGATTTGACTGATTGGTTGACTGTGTGAATGTGTGTTGGAATGTATGGAAGGACGTATTCTTTTATATTTATTATTACTTTCTTTTTAGCTATGAGGCCACATCCTGATTGTGCAATGAAATTTCGTTGTAAATTCTTTTACAATGACAAATAAAGTATTTAAGTCTAAGTCTCCTCTGAACTTCTCCCCCACTGTCAGCCTTTCTCCAGTTTCCAACTCCCTTACGCATCTGAAATCTCTGACCTCATCTGCAAATCCAAGCCTTCCACTTGTCTCGATCTGGTCAAATCCTGCCTCTACTCTCTGCTGCTCTTCTTCTCCGCCATCATCCATTCCTCACTTACCACTGGCATTGTTCCTACTCTCTTCAAAACTGCAGCCGTCACCCCACTATTGAAAAAACCTGGTCTAGATCCAAACAACTACAATGATCTTCGCCCCATCTCTAACCTACCCTTCATTTCCAAAATTCTTAAAAAGACGGTCGCAACTCCACTCTCACCTTACTCAATAAAACCTCTACAAACAATTGCAGTCTGGTTTCCGCCCTTCCCATAGCACAGAAACTGCTCTCCTGAAAATCACCACCGGTCTCCTCATGGCAGCTGATTACGGTTTACACACTATTCTCATCCTCCTTGATCTGAGTGCAGCCTTTGACACTATTTCTCACACCATCCTCCTCAATAGACTATCCTCCATTGGCATCTGTCACACACAGACACACACACACACACACACACACACACACCCCGGACTGGTTTCAACTCAAGTCCTTCAGTTCCCAGCCCTCCCCCGTTACTTCAGGTTTTCCCCAAGGCTCTGTCCTAGGGCCCCTTCTCTTCATTATCTATCTCCTCCCACTTGGCAATATTTTCCATAAATGAAACATCTATTTCCACTGCTTTGCGGATGACACCCAGCTCTACCTCTCCACTTAACCAAACTCCACCCTCCCACCCTCCTCCCTTACCACCTGTCTTTCTGAAATTAAATCCTGGCTCAACTCAACAGCGATAAAACAGAGATCCTCCTCGTGGGCACGAAATCTAAACTAATCTAATCTACTAATCTACATCTAAAGTTGACAGTTCCTCCCTCCAAATTAACAGCTCCTCTGTTTCTCCTTCCCCTCAGGTTAAGAGTCTGGGTGTCAATCCTCCACAGCACCCTATCCTTCCACTCTCATGTCAATAATATTTTCACCTCTGCAACATTAATCGTCTCCGCCCTTCCCTCAGCCCCCACACCACTTCTATTCTTGTCCATAGCCTTGTCACCTCCCACATCGACTACTGCAGTTCTCTCCTCTTTGGTCT